AAACACTCTTTCAATGATGGAACAAAAAGCGTTATTTTGTGTGTGTGTGTGTGTTTTTTTCCTAAGACATGAAGAAACGATTTGGGATTTGTTTAAAGAGGTGACTTGCAAAGTCAGGTATAAATAGGCGGGTGATGTGTATCTGATGCTCACTGGTTCACGGGACAACCGGTAGTTTTCTTTATTGTCATTATTTGTGACTAAAAAAATCAGTGTAAGTTGAAAATAAAAAAAAAGAAAGATTTTCCTTTTGTCATTTTATCTGAAGCATAGAATGTGAATCATATGATATGAGTATGTCTTTCATTAATTTTATAGTCGAAATTCATGTTTCAAACTGAAATTAGTTTTAAGTTGGTCGATTTTAATAATGTTTGACCAAAATTATTCACAAATTTAATTGGCCAATTTTATATTTCCATAAAAAAAAAAATTGGTTTTCCAATCAAAATTATACTCACATTGAGAAATCTTATAACATATAGAATTATTGTTGATCAATTAAATTCTAATTGAAAGTACTTATATACGTCCCAAAGTAATATAATATTTGGTCCTTGTCTCTTCCGCCTTCACCTGCAGAGATCATGAGCTTTTTTTTTTCAAATTCATACAAAAGTTTTCAACTTTTCTGGGATAGTGATATATTCACTGGACTTTTGCATCCAAATAAAATGTAATACAATTTATTATGATTATTATTTAATTTAATTGATATTTCAACACCATATATATAATATTACTTTACGACTTTATAAAAATAAATACACAAGCAGAAAATCATTTAAAGACAATATTACTTTACGAAAATTTTAATTGTGAAAATAAATAAGGTAATAATCTTGTATTGAAGACTGAAGCCGAATATAAACCACGACTTTATTGAGTGAGGCAGAGGTAATGCAGATTTTCTCTTGCAAAACGTATGAACACCAATATCTGGGCAGCTTCATAAATACCCGTCAAATCAAGCCCACCTTACCTATTATATCTACAGTTTCAACCAATATTAACCATGTATTATATAAAAGGGTAGGGCTGCTTCTTGTCTAGCCAAAAGAGGAGTTAATTATAGGGGGAAAAAAATTTTAACCTTTCAAAGTACGCCGTCTTTTTTACTTTGCCATATAAACTATTTTTTTTAAACTTTTTTTTTTTTGACAATTTGCCTCTCAATGTAATCGAAACTTACAGTTTGCCTCCTCGATTGAAAACCCTAATATGGTACAAAAGAGTTTTTAACTCAATTAATGATGAATTTTAAAATTAATCTTTAAAATTGATTTAGGGCTTTTAAAGCCCATGGCGAGACGAACAAAATGAGGTATGATTTGTCGATTTCTGAAAATTGATACCTCTAAAATCGATCCACGAATATAACAGGAGCACATGTGTATAGAAAAAATTTCAATTCAAGTTTTCTGATAATCAAGATATCCGATTTTCGATTGAGATGTGTCATCTGAAAGCTTGAAGGACGAATTTTCTATCAATGTAAATCTTATGAAAATCCAACGGTCGGATTTTGATTAGTAGCCTACAAAAAAAGCTAACTATTGATCAATAGTTTTCTAAATACTTATCAAAATCCGACCGTTGGATTTTCATAAGATTTACGTGTTAGAAAAATTGGTCCTACTAGCTTTCAAATGACACCTCCCAATCGAAAATCGGATATTCTGATTGTCAGAAAACTTAAATTGAAATTTTTTCTATACACACGTACTCCTACTATCTTCGTGGATCGATTATAGAGGTATCAATTTTCAGAATTCGACATATTATACCTCATTTTGTTCGTCTCGCCATGGGCTTTAAAAGTCCTAAATTAATTTTAAAGATTAGTTTAAAATTCATCATTAATTGAGTTAAAACTCTTTTGTGCCATATTAGGTTTTTCAATCGAGGAGGCAAACTGTCAGTTTCGATTACATTGGGAGGCAAATTATTAAAAAAAAAGTTTATATGGCAAAGTCAAAAAAACGACATACTTTGGGAGGATAAAAAAATTTTCCCTTAGTTATAAGTGTTTTTTTTTCAGATGTATTTATAATTTAAATAGTGTTATAAAATTTCTCATAAACCCGTTTGGAAGTTCATTAATTTGAATCTGTTAGAGGGCGATTAGATAAAAATAAAATCATTTTTGATTGAATTGATTAGTTAGAGTAAGATAATTTTTAATAAAGTAATTTGAGTAAGATTTTGAATTTCTCGTTCACAAAAAACATCATCTNATTAAAAACTCAAGAATCAAAGTACAATTGCCAAGTCCAATGACTAACAAATGCAGCAATTCTAGAATCTAGAATCCTAACACATGGGGAGGCAAAGCCATCTACCTCCCCTCAACAGCCATTTCGGCTACAGACTTACACAAAGAACACAAAGCAACATTACTAACAAAACTACACATCTTTTTGAGCAGATGTGGATTGCTGGAACTAGCCTCTTCTTGTGCATGCCTTTGGACTAAGAACTCATACACAGACTTTAAAGTAAGCTCACTCTTAACATGTCAATACCAAATGAGCCTATCTCTTTGACCGTTGTGACTCAGAGGTATTCTAAGAAGGCAAAATTGCATTTTATGCCCTGTAACTAAGGATGTGTGGCAAATGTGGACAACTTCTTTTTGGTTTGGCAAAAATGCCCTGAAACTTGTTAAAAACCGAAATCCGTGCCCAATTTGGGCACAAATTTTGAATTTTAACAAGTTAATGTCCAGTTTTGCCACACGAAAAACCCGATCAAATCTGGTAACTTGTAGGTAAATTGGGCACAAATTCCGGGTTTTAACAAGTTTCAGGGCATTTTTGCCAAACCAGAAAGAAGTTGTCCACATTTGCCACACATACATAGTTACAGGGCACAAAATGCAATTTTGCCTCCTAAGAATAGCCTCTGCATCTTGTGGTTTGCATCTTGTGGTTTAAAAGATTGAAGGATTAAATCCAGTCAAAATTAGCCTATCTAGTCCAGTCAAAATCGATAAAAACCAGTGACCTAATTTCAAATTAGTGTGACTCAATTTTTTTTTTTTTTGTAATTTTATTAATGAATTTTTATCTAACAAATTCAATAAATAAAGAAAAAAAATATACATTTTCCTTTCAAATTGACAAAGACCATACCAATGGATTCCATCCTTAAATTCTATAAAAACTTTCAATTAAACTACTATTTTACATTATTTTCCACTTTGCTTCATTATTGTATTGTGTTGTACTTGTATCTAATCTCCTAAAATTAATTTGACCTAGTAGAATTAGTTATTTGATACATATAAACAAAAATTAATGTTTATCAACTCAATTGTCGTAATTGAGTTTGGTTATGATATGTATAATGTGCGCGAAATACAAAATAAATATTTATATATATACAAAGTGAACTAAAATTTTCAAACAGGTCATGTGGTTAAATCAGAGATCCAATGACCTAATCATGGGAAGTGTGGATAGATAATATACAATTAAAAATCTCAACGAAATGGTTCCGTAACGGGAAGGTATGTTTGCATACAAGAATTTTCAAAAAAAAAAAAATAAATCAACATTTTAACTCAACCACTTTTTTAGCTCAATTTTAACTCAACCCTGCTATCATCAATATGATTAAATAATATCAATCAATCATTCATACACACCACATCAACCTTAATTCACTATTCATCCACTCACATTATTTTAACAAATTATCACTTCAAATCATATCTCTCCTACGCTTACATCAAATCAATTTGAATTATTTTATTTTAAATATTATTTTAATATACACACTAACAACTAATCATACCATTTTTTTCAAAATTAACCATCAAACCAAAATATCCAACACAACCAAAAAAAATTATATCCAAACATGCTCGCAGTCTTTCCCCCCTAATCATATTTCTGGTTCGAATATGAGTCCTAATTTATGCCATACAAATTATTATTATTATTATTATTATTATTATTATTATTATTAGTACATGGAATTAATTCCCCCAAAGGAATCATAACCTTAAAAGGAATCTTTGAAAGAGTTTTTGGTTGAAATATAGAGTATTTGGAAATTTCATTGGCCATTGGCTGAATAATTTTCCAGCCATGTCTTCTGACAAGTGGACAGTAGATCACTTTTCACTGTCAAACGATTTAACGCACAATCTCTCTCAGGTCTCAATTACCAGAACTCAACATCAACTTTGTGTTCGCCAGTATTTTCCCTCCGACGAATGAAAAGCCTCGGATTTTGGTGATCGCTCAATGTTGGAAAGCTAAAAGGTTTTTCAAGATTCGTACAATAGAATTGCGTAAATGTCCCTGGACTCAATTACGTATTGTATTCTATTTATTTATTTATTTAATTTATTTATTTGTTTTAGTTTAAAAAGGTAAGTATAATAAAAAGATTTCAATAATAAAAAATTAAATATCAAATAAAAATGTACACTTTGACTTATTTGATTATATTTGGTATTTGATTATACCAAATATATTTCTATTTAGTATATACATTAAATACTTACTAAAGTATTTATTTGTTTTATTTGCCAAAGTTAAGTATAGATTTGTTTATATTATCAAATCATAAAAAATATTAAATCCATATTGTAAAAAAAAAATCATATAATTTTATAAAAAAAACGGAGGTGATCGATCGGTGATTCCAGGAAGAACAAGTTCGCAGTACATATACTTCAAGAACAAGCTAAACCGGAGGATTACAGGAAGAACAATTTCACGGAACATATACTGCAAAAACCGTGAATCATACTGATCATATACTGTACATATACCACAACACAACACAAAACAGTAGATTCCATGGAAAATATACCTCAACACAACACAACACAAAATATACCGAAATCATCCGAAATTATCCTGAATCGAAAATATACCACAACAGAACACAAAATATACCGAAAATATACTGAATATAAATCATCCTCTGAAAAGGTATTTCTCTTCTCTCTCGTCGACTCCATGGAAAACGATTCTGGGATCGCCTACCTGGAGATGACGCGGGGATGGCTCGTAGACGATCTCGTTGAGGGAGTAGGAGTCGGTGGAGAATGGGTCGGCATTGAAGGGGACGTACTTGGCAGAGAAGCCGTGGGGCGAGGCGTGGCAGCGGGCCTCGTCGCGGATGTTCTCACCCGCGGGGCGGCGGTGCTTGAGCGAGGCAGAGGCCGATGCGGCGGCGGAAAGGGGATCGGAGGATGTGGGGGACTTGTGTGAAGGGGATCGGAGGAGTTGGAGGGTTTTGTGTGAGAAAAAGAGAGAAAAAACCGTCTTTGAAGAAGAGAGAAGATGGGGGGAGAGGAGAGAGAATGTATTTAGGAAATTAGCTTTAGACATATATGCAAATAAATATAATAAATTTTGTTTATTTGTAAATAATTATATAAGGGATGTAATTATGTAATATTTTTAGATTATTTAAGTGGAGAGTACAAATTCCTAAATTGGAATTGTGTAAATGTGTATATCCAAGTTCTCTAACAAACAAGGGGCCCAGATCGTGACTCAGCCCAGCCCACCACGTTTCAAACATCACAAAATAAGCAAATTGGCAACATAAAGTAAAATGATGAAAAAAAAAAATAAGAAAAAAAAAAGGTAACTAGCTAATATGGATATTTTCCTGACTATCAACCTGCCATTTATGATAACCTTATTGGATCTATACTATATATGTTAATTTCAAATGGTTTAGTAATGTATAATAATATGGAAACAACAGCTGCCAATTTTAATTTCCCATAGTTATTCTATTAGGTGGGACCAATTATTAGACCAAGATATTATTTTAATAAATATGCACATAGTAATGTTGTCGCAGACATTCATATTTTTCAATGAATATGCTTATTTTTAACTTCAAATGTTATACGCTTAAAAATAATATAAATAGAAATATAACATTTTATAATAAAAACATACATATTTGTTCATAAAGTATAAAGAGTTACCCAACTAATAATTAAACTGTCTCACACAAAAATTTGTATTTAATTTTAGGTAACAAGCCTGCTACCTTAATTTCCTAAAGCAAAACTAGCGCCCTTCAAACTTGTGAAAATCTATGATCTTCAAATTGAAGCCATAAATTAAAGGCATATTCTTCTGAATGCCCTTTATGCTCTTCTATAGCCACTGCCCCAATTATTGTCCGAATTTGGTATGCTACGTTCTCACAACTAAAATTGTGCATCTATGATCATCCCCTATGTGATTTTATAGATAATATATGATTCCTTGTGCTTAATTTCCAACTTACGCAGTGTCTTACTAAATCAAGGAAAATCTCCAAATACTCCCATCAATATATTTTTTACTTCTCATTTACATATCCTTTTCTTTTATTAAATTCTTAAAAAAAAATCTATAAAAAATCATTGTTATTTCAAAACTCCATGGTCAAAACATTTCTTTATATATAACATAAGAATAGTCAGGTCATTCAAAAATCCTAAATTGAGTCTTACCACTCAAATCATCTATATATCTTTTTACAACATAAGAATAGTCAGGTCGTTCAAAAATCCTAACTTGAGTCTTACCACTCAAATCATCCATATTAGAGTGCCTCCATACCTGAAAATCCGAGCGAAAACTTGAACCACCATTCAAAATTGAACTCCTAAAAGTGTGATTAGATATGAATCCAATCGATTTTGGTTGGATTTGGTTGGTTAAAGTGAGTTATTTTACATAGAGTTGATCGAATTGATGATTTTGAATTTGTAATTAAATAATACTAGTACAATACGCGTGTACTATACGAGCACTTGATAAGAAAATTATTTCTAAATTTAAATATAATAATAACAACAATAGTTGTTTAAAATTAAATCCATGTATTTATTAGCCTAATTTGAGGTTTTCATGAAAATTAATGAGCTAATTGAGAGCTTCAAAAACAAATCAATGTTATATTAGTCAATCAATACCATTACCAAATGTTCCAATGCAACTTAAGGGTTATATAAGTCAAACTATTATGGAATTATCAATTTATTGTTTAATATGTTTGGAATGTTCAAACCTAAAACTATTGAATAATATTATTTTTTATCCAAATCAAACTACGAAGCATGTTTTTTCGCCAAGTAGGATTCCGAATCGTGCGAGACTGCTACTTAGGCTCAGCGCATTCTGCAATTATAAATAAAGGGAATTTAAAATGTAAATATAAAAGTAGATGTGATGTAAAAGTATAAAAGAGATTACTGATAGAAATTGATAGTTAAAATTGTGCGAATGAATAATGAATCAATCTGACAAAAGTGTAATTCAATGCACGTACTTTCAACTTTACATTGAATACAACACATCAAAGTGGAGTCGGGTTCGATAGTAACTATTTAGTCTTTCGTTATTGCACCTATGAACTTGTGAATTGTGCGTGGGTATGCACAAGAACGTATTCGTTATTATAACAAAGCCATAACATTAAAATTTGCTAGAAAAGACAGAAACAATTATTGATACAAAAATAGGCAATCGCCGCCCAACACGCAGGACCACGTCCAGCAATATTATTGAGCTATCTTTTGGGACTCAAAATTTAATGTAAGAATCTAAGCACTCGTCAAGTTGCAATACGCAGTACGTTTGGTTGATGTAATATACGCGTGCATGTACGATTTCTTAACAATAATAAAAGTAGGTTTTCTAGATTTTTATTTTAATTTTTTTTTACTATTTCTTCTTTTCAATAATGAGACTATATATGAGAGGTTTTCTAAATATTGGTTTTCAATAATAAAAGTAGGTTGGGATTTTCTATCGTCAGATTCGCTTCGTACCAGTTTCGTACCTACCTAACATCAGGTTCTCCATTAAAATAATGCCACGTGTCATTTCGAATTTTCATTTAAGAAAATAATTAAATAAAAGTTTGTGTAAGTACTAAACTATCCTTACTGAAAAGAAATTTTAATATATGGTGTTTAACTTTTCTCATATTATTGTTCTACCCTAATCACATTTACATATTACAATTAAGACACAAATTATAAATAAATTGCCTTCTTTTCATCTACTCGATCTATTATCTTCATCGCTGTGAAAATCATCCTTTGAATGCTTCTATAGTCGATCAATCAACCAGTGCATATTCGGATTACACGGGTGCTTGATATTTTGTTTGCTTAATCTTCATATATTCACCAGGTTATTGTTATTTCGTTAACTTATTCTTCGTAGTCGGATTGTGATTTTGAATGTCCGCCTGTTATTTTGTAAATTTTTGTCAATCACTTGTGAAATCATATTCGATCGATGTCTGATTTTTATTTTAGGGTGATTAAAACCGAAAAATCGAGGTAAATATTTTGAACTGCAATCGCATTCTCTATTGTACGTATTTACCCGATATGTTCATTATTTATATTCTTATACGAAATTTGATCTGCTGCGATTCCTTCCTGGTTCTGCAAATTATTTTGGAAATATGTGATGTGAGGGTGTGGGTTATTTAAGGGACTCCATTGTTGTATTTGTACTATTATTTGTAAGGCACTTTACATGGTCGTCGAAATGTATGAATGAGGACGACAAATGTGTTTTTATATCTTGTGTTGTTGTTCTTGTTATTGAGAACATACTTGAAGTCATGATAAAGCGAGGATTTATATCTTGTGTTGTTGTCGTGCAATGATTTGAGAACATAGTTGAAGTAATGATGAAGCCAGGATTTGTATTACATTTAGCAACAAGGAAGCACGCACCCATACATATAATACAAATGCCCATTTGAAACAATGATACCTAAACAGAGTTGAATTACTGCTTAAGTGTGGTTTAATATTTTTGATAAAATGATTGGTGTTTGTATTGCTGAGCATTTGTATAGTTCAATTGCTCTGAGTATTGTGGTACTATTTACAAGGAGTACTGAATGTACATTTCATCAATTTTGAAAGTGTTTTGACAGTGGTTTATTACTGTTAGTGCCCATCTTGTTTCTCTTGATCAGATTGCTGTGGAATGTATGGCTAAAAGAGAGGTGGTATTTCATGAACACTTTAAAGTGATTCTGCTGTTTTCAGGAATTCTTGAAGCACTGTGGCTAGAAGCTGTGAGATGGTATCTTTTCAAAGGAGCGCAATTGTGGCTGGAATAAGTATTTTGGTTCAGATTGAAGAATAACAATCTGGTGGCCAAATTGAATAAGAAGCAGGGGAGTTGGACATTGAAGCAATGTTCTTGTTAGATTTGGAATGGCCTGTCGTAAGGGATGCTTGTAAAGAATTCCAGTAAACACTTAGCAATCAGTTGATTGCTCGATTTGTAATATGCTTGAGTTTCAAACTGTGAATATAGTTTTGTTATTCTAAAAAAAAAAAAAATGTTTTGATGTATTGTAGACATTGATATACAATAGAAACACACACAATTGAAGTTGAACTAATGTTTTGATGTATTCCCTCTGAGGTGTTGTTTAATATAACATAATAATGAAGTGAGAGATAACTTCATTATTTGCAGGGGGGTTTTGATGCCGGCAACCTGTGATTGAAGTCTGGTTTAATATAACTTAATAATGAAGTGCATGAAGATATATGTTAAAGTATGATGTTTCATTATGAGAATGCAACTTAAAAACCAATACATCAAACATCAACATCAAAACACAAGTTATATAGTAAGGAATTGTAAACACCATTGTTCAAATTTCACAAGAAAATCATGATTGTTCGAATATAAAGCTAAACAATAGATGAAATGAAAACAAACAGCATAGTCTACTAATTGTTCACAAAATAATAGCTTATGCAATCATCCTTAGATTGCACTGACCATTGGTATTTTTGAACAAGAACAAATACAAAATGATGCACACAATTACAAGCATCAAACACATTGACTTCTTTCTATTTGTCTCGACTGCAGTTTGCAACTTCTTGGACTCTATTTCAAACAATCTTCTTTCGTCCGTCAGTTTATCCTTCTCATCTTTCAATTGTTGACCGATGTTACCAAACTCGTGTTGAAGATTGTTGTAATCAATTTCCAACATTCGTTTATCCTCCTTCAGTTTGTCGCTTTCACGTTGTAGATGGTAAATTCGAGCTTGAAAGTCATTAGATTTTTGCAGCAGCGAGGAAATTAATTGCTTTGAACGCGTGCACATTGGACCATCAACCCACGAAAAGAAGTCGCAACCCCCATCCTGCAAAAAATTAAAAAAAAAAAAAAAAAAAGAAAATTGTGAAAGTCATCTAAAATTAGGGTTCTTCAACAACGATTTATGTGAATCTTACCTTGTAATAATTACATGATTGGAATCGCCTTCCAGGGTTATCCGATGTCCAGGACGTGCGAATGACAGAATCATGTCCACATTTACATACCCTCAACACGGCGTGACGCGAGATGCCGGCCATTTTTTTTCCAGGTTGGGGAAAAAAACCAGTGTTTTTGAAGGCCGTAAACTACTTAGGGTTTTTTGTGAAAAATTTTAGTCAGAAAATCAAGATACTATATAGATTCACCAAAATTTGGAAAGGGCCCCAATTTTTGTTAAGATTTCCCCCCATTTACGTACATTTTAAATTTAAATTTGAACAAAAAATACAGAATCAACAAGTGATGAAAGGTCATATTAACACCCAATAATTATCATTTGCATTAAACATTAGATATTAGTACATTAGGGACGTTACAATTTAATAAAGTTTAACTAATTACCAAACATCCCAAAACAAGCCGTAATAACCAAGTACCAAACATCCCAAAACAATTATCACTTGAACTAACATGATCTAACCGTCTGCCAAAACATCACAGCACATTAACAACAAAAGAATTTACATACGACATAATCAGGAGAACCCCACAACAAGATCTCCACAAAAGTGACATACATCTGATACACCATAGAACAAAAGTCATTTCATACAGCAGATGAAGATTCAGAATCGCTGGGGACATCAAAAGTCGACTGAAGAGCATCGTTGAAACAAATTTTAGCGGCTTCCCTCATTTCAAATACCAGCATGCATTCGCTGTGCCACTTGAAGCCAGTTGTTCGGAGAAATCGTTCAATAGTGTTTTCCTTTATTGTTTTTTCAGGAAAAAATACATAAGCGATTAATATATAATGTAATTGATTGTATTGACTGTACATAGCTAGTTAATGTAAATATATAAATAATTCACCTCGGGCCACGCGTAGAACCGATAGAAGTTGTTCACCCTAACCTCGCCAGTTTTTGAATCGACTTTTGAGCGTGTTCTCTGGAGAAACTTCGTGAAAAGGTTGTAGTGGTTCCTTAGCCGCTGAACTTGTTCTCTAACAGCCCGGTTATCTACAGACCTGCCCAATACTTCCGACAGATCTTGCGCCAGTGGAGACCATATTGAGTTGAACACCTTAAAATTGTGAATGTCGGGCAATGCGAGAGCCTTTTCAAAGAAGAGTTTGTAACACTCCAAGACGTCCTGCTCGCTCCATCCTGGGTTGCGAAAGATTGCCGCCATTTTTAGTACATCATCGTCGTTGTTCGTCATGGCCGTAGTAAAGGTACGAAATAATGAAATTGGCCGAAAAAAGAAAAACCAAGAAAGGA